CATTGATGTACGATGTACGTCTACAATGTACTGTACTGTACTTGTGTATATATACTGCTTACTCCCATCCCGTTCCGGTTCCTCCGTGTCTCAAACCACTATGAACTATACAATAATAGAATGATATGCAAAGTTTTTGAATGATTTGCTTGTGGAACATTCCCCCCCCAATAGCCGAGATGTTCACGGAAAACACTCCCTCTCCTAATCCGAAGCATTTATAATCGCCTCACTCATCCCATACCTACAAAATCCAAAATTGCAACAAAAAGTGAGAGAAACAGGGAACGAGCAAAAAGCTCACTAAATGGAAAAGGTAAGAAACGAAATCCTAAATAAACCCTTTTTTGTAGCGGAGGGTGGGGTAATAAATACTAAGTAACATATAAATATATGTGAAAAAAAGAAAAAACACTCCTTATCCAATAAATTAAAATAGAAACAAAAGTGAGAACGAGCAGGAGAACTAGAAGAATAACATAGTTACTGAAATGGACACGACCCAATTGAATCCCAAAGCAAAATTCAATATCAACGCAAACAAGGCCAATCCACTCCCCAGCAAAAAGAAGAAGAATAAAACGAGAAGCACCGCGAGGATATGTATAGAAGAGGGAAAGAGAAGAAATCCAGAAGTATACCATCGCCAGAGAAGCCAAAAGAAAAGAGCAGATACGAAAAGCAAAAGAAAAAGGTAAAAGCGATAAACAAAAAACAAAAGCAGAGGCAGTATCCCAGTTCGTGAATGAAGGATACAGAACATCAGGGCCAGGGACGAAGGGCAAAACACACGTAACAGAATAGAGTAACATCAAAAACGTTCCATACCCAATGAATGAGGGTTTTCATGAGGCAACGAGATGAAGAAGAAAAAATATCAAAAAAACAAAACGGAAGCCAAACAATTAACCAACCCAAATCCTGAATGAATCACTCTCAAAATCCTTCCAAAGAAGCTCAAGGCGGTTCCGCCCATCAAACCATTCAGAAACAAACTATTATTTCGCCATCAGTGACAATCCGCAGAATCTGCTCCTTTTCTTTAAGCTGTCCAGAGATTAAAACCGACCCTACCAACAGGCAGGGCAATATCCCCTTCATCCCTTATCCTTTCCAATTCCATATAAGATTCAGATGAACGACTAGTCCAAGGAAAAATAAAGAAATAGCAGCAAAGGAAACAACACAAACTAATAACTTTACCTCCTCAAAATCGCCTCATACAAAGACCCCAACGTCCCAATAGCGGCCCCTGTCATCAGACCAGGCAGTCCACCAGGAACAGCACCGGAAACCGTCGTAACCGTCATCTGACGGTACATGTTCCAAAACGTGCAATTGCTCGTGTACACCAGGTACGAAATCAGGGCCTTGGAGACGTTAAATACGAGCGGGTCGAAGCTACCCACTTCGGCAGCCTTTGCAGCTGCTGAGGAAGTGGTGCGACGTGTGCCATAAGCATGGCTGCTGCCTTGTTGTGAAATTTTCAAGCTTAGGTTGCAAAAGTACGCGAGCACGGAAGGTAGGAATATGCTCGTGGAAAGCCAAAGGGAGAAGGGTCCCCAGAAGGACGCTTCCAGCAGGATGAACACGTCAGGGACCTTAACGGCGTACTCTGGGGTTCCAACTGTTGACACCGCGGGGAACGTGGTTAGGTAGCGCATGGGGACAATTTGGGAAAGCAAACCACACAGCTCCATAAAGAGGGTGATCAGCTCGATCGTACGGACGCTGCTGAGGCATGAGCGTAGTGCGTCGGAGCGTTCGGTTAGGCCGGACGCGTCCCAGGCCTCAGACATGGACTGGCGGGCTTTGGTGGTTTGGCGATCGATCGCGTCTGTGATGACTGCGGGGGACGGTGGGAGGGAAGGGAAGTGAAGGGAGCGGCGACGCGGGGGGGTGCGAGAGGCCGGGGTTGATTGTTTGCTGGCACTGCTGTCGAATCCACCACATGAGCTACTAGTTTAATATGTATGGTAATGTCTCGCATGAATGGAGACAGAAAAATGACGCGTGAAGGGAAGTGAAGGGAGGGAGAGGAAAACGGGAAGGACGAACGTGGCTTCGACCTCCTCCTTTGGTTTTATCGTTCGCCTCGACCGACTAGGTCTCCTGCCGTCGTCGCCGGACATCATGGGCTCAGGCTTGGGTTCTCTCTTGATAGGAGACGAGCGCGATGTTTGCGACAGACGCCTGTAGTAGTCTGCCAGTTTCTGTTCGCTGGAAAGCGAGGCACGGTTCGTCGAGAGGTGGTCGTCGAGTGCAGCCTCAAGCTCTGTCTTCTTGTAATCCTCAAAGCTATACAATCCGATCACAAAAGAAGTATCTCGGTTAGCAAAAGTGCACAACGCTGTATGCTATTGCTTCGTAAGGCATATATCAAATTCAGACAACGGGACATACTCTTGGAGATTAGATACTTCAGCGAGAACGACGAGGTCACTCTTGCGCAGACCACGCAGGTAGGGTAAAGCGGGCGACATGGCAGGGGACGATATGAGAGCAGAATATGAGTCGCGTAGAGTATGCGATCGTATTTACTGAAGCGTGAGTAGTGGTAACTGGGTATACAATGCTGTCGGTAAGGGGTGATGACGCGGGTGGAGGGTCAGCGAGAGAGAGAAGTGTCGCGGGGAGAGGAGTTGGCGGTGGATGCCGGGATTGTTGTTTACTCGGGCGGCTTAGCGTGTTTTCATCACGGCTTCCCCAAGTTGCGACGCGCCAGGAAAGGGATCAGGGTCAGCTATTTCACATCAACTGTCTTCTTGCAGGGTATTAAATCTGTAAATTTGGATAACTTTGGACATCTCACGATTAATGCGATGTTGTAGTAGAGTTCTTTCATTTCCCGCCACCGGTGTATGTACGAACCACATCCTGACGTTCCTCTGCACTGCACATTTCAATCAAAACCGACAAAAAGGAGAAGATACGAAGACACTGGGAGAGGTGATAACCAGAGGGGATAGAAGAAGCAGAAGGAGAAGAAAAACACACGCCCTATATACACACATGCACATACACACATACACAATTGGCCAAAAATAGAAACAATCCCAAACGCCTTCCTCTATGCAGATTGACCCATAACAAAATGGTCTAGATGATCTCTAGGAAGCAACAAGAAAAAGAGGGGAGCAAAACGAAATAAAGTATAGTAAAGTATAACGTAAAATATACCATTGAAGAAAAGGAAAAGGCTCCCTGGGGTTGGAAGTCTTCTGGAAAAAAAAAAAAAAAAACACTATAAAACAGCTCCACCACCGTCGCCCAGCTCCCCTTCGCTCCGTTGTTGGTATGAATCCAGCTGCTTTAGCAGATACTGATAGAGCACCAACATCGTCCCGCTCTGCACACTTGTCCACAGAAACCGAGGTCCAACTCCTCGAAACCATCCTAAAATCCCCTCCGTCCGGTATATCAATTTCAACCCCGTAAATACTGACGAGGTATCTAATATCAGCGCTCCGGGCTTCACGGTGGATGTCGATGGGGAAGATGTCGATATTAATCTGGTGGACTGTACGGTCTTCGGCGCCGTCTCTTTTATCTTCGTCTGGTGTTTTCCTGTCGTGGAAGGACCAGCAGGAGCAGCAGAAGCAGCAGCAGTAGTAGTAGTAGCAGCAGAAGTTGCCCGTGGAACTGACGTGCCAAACGCATCCGGACTCTGCTGCGTCTGGGTCCTTGTCTTTACAACATCAAGCGGACAAGTTATAACGCCCGCCATGCCCCCCGCCGTCGTAGCCGTTAGAATTTCCAACGGCAACCCGATGTCCCTACTGCCCACCCACTTTTTCGCGAGTTTCTGCTCCTGCTCATAAAACGCAAATTGCAGCGCCGAAAATGGCAGGTCGCGGAAGAGAGTCGCCTTGTAACCAGAAAATAAGGTCCCGAAGCCTTCTTGGCGGATAATTGTGCGGAATGCGTCGATAGTGCCTCTATAATTGTATCCGGAGCGGAAGAAAGGATTATTATATCGTCCCTGTAGTTGTTGGCGGGTCTTTAAGACTTCGGAAGGAACGTAGACAACGGAGGCGGCGAGGTCAGCGATGAATCCTGACGTTTTTGTAATGTTAGTTGGACAGAGAGTAAACAGCCGCCACAACACCACAAGCAGGTAGATATGTAAATACTCTAATACGCACCGCCCGCGAGATATGATAACGATGGATTAACCCCCGCATCCAGCATATGTCTCTTGCTATACTCGTACGTGCCGAAAAATATCACCGTCCCGGGAAACGAGCCAAGCAACGCCGGCGTGACACCGCTATATAACCCCCTCCGAATCCCTTCCTGCCGTAGAATGGTAGCGTACGAGGAGGACATAGATGTGTATTTGGGTGGAACGTGCGGGTCACCTTGCTGCCGCGTCTTGACCGTGTCCAGCGAGTGCATGAGAAGGTCACCGCTCGTCCCGCCGATGCCACCAGCTAACATTGACTAGGAACGGTACGGAGAGAAGTGTGAATATTAGCCATAAAATCGAAAAAAAAAAAAAAAAAAAAAAAAAAAAAAAAAAACCAAGTAACTTATTGTTTGCATATCCAACCCTCGATCGGACCCAAAATAGCACCTTTTCGTGTAATACGTACGTGTATGTACGGCGGTCTCGCCGCCTCAACATCAACTTCCTCATGCAGCATATGAGCACGGGCATCCACCCCATCATTATCCCCCATTATCCTCGCCCGCTTACTTCTCCTCTCCCCTCCAAACTCCGTCGTCATTGTCGCATGCGCCCGATTCGGGTCCCAATTCCCGTCACCATATACAGCAGAAGGCTGGAGAGTAGCTGTGGCGGTAGGGGTGGGGGTAGGGGTGGGAATCGCAATAGTAGTCGAGGGCGATGATGTGCTCGTCGTGCTATTGGTGGTCGAGCCAGAGGAGAACAGGCCAGGCATCGGATTCCACGAGGTCGTTGTCGTTGTTGTTGTTGTCGTCTTTGTCGTCGTCGTAGAATTCAGGTTCATCGCCGCGCCCTCCCCCGTCGCTTTTTTTTTTTTCCCCTTGCTCTTTTTTTAAGTTTTTCTGTATCAGGCGAGTAATTGAAACGCTTCGGTATTTCCTTTTAGAGTACAATTATGTACAAAATATTTATATCCTCTAGCGGCGGGATATTTCGTTGTTTCGTTTTTTGGTTCTTTTTTTTTTTTTTTTTTTTTTTTTTTTTTTTTTTTTTTTTTTTTTTGGGTCTATGTTTGGCTTCGCGAGATAAACCGGCTCTTGCTTAAGAGGGCGTGGGCCGCGGGAATTTTCGGGGAGGTATCTAGCTATGGGGGGGTATATCTATTTTCTTTAAAGGGGTCCTCTTGTCTGGGTCCCCCCCCCCCCCCCCCGATATTCTTCGAGGGCTGACAAGAGCACTCAAGGCATCGAATTGAGCAAGAAAGAATGATTAATTACAGAATTCGAAACGAAGGGCGGACGGCGATGCCATCCTTGTTCATGTGCTATTCGAAAGATGAAATGAAATAGACAAAAATAATGAGCAGCGGGGGCGTGTGCGTGTGGGAGTAAATCGGTAATGAAGTTGTGGTTTCTCTCTTCCCTCGGTTTTTTTTTTTGGTTTTATTTTTTTGGTCTCGATGCAATGGAGCTGGATTCTTGGGCGGGTCGGCAGAATGTTGATCCAGGGCCAATGCTCGATGAGCTATCCATGAATGGTCTGGGATGAGCAATAAATGTTGAGACAACAGAGCAGAAGTCAAGTAAATAACATCGCTGATAAAAACAGTAGATATGAAGTTTCCACAAAGCGACAATAAGTATGGAGTAAACCCAGCAGAAATATCGACAGAGGAAACAAGCAAACAAAAACGAGCGCAAGAACGCAAAAAATGATGAGAATGCCTAGACGTACAGACCCATTGACGAAGTAAATAATTTTTTTTTTTTTTTTATTTTTATTTTCCCCGTTTTGAAAGGAAAGAAAAAAATGCTGCTACCAAAATCTCCTCCCTATCTTCGAATTTTTAACTTCTCCCCCCCAAACTGCACTCTGCACTGCAGCCACTCACTCAATAACAAACATTACTCAAACTTAGATAGTAAACATTGTCTTAAATGTATTTGCCGTGGTCGCATGATAAGCATCCCCAACCTATCCCGCCGAAAAAGAAAAGAGAAAGAAAGCACAAGGAAGAGATAAAAGGAAAAAATTGACCTGGTCTGTCTGTCTTCGTCTGACTGTCCGCGGGTGTCAGGAGTAGAAAGGCACCAAGTTAGACGAACGCGGGTCCAGACTGATAAAGACAGTTTGTTTCTTTGGCATGTGCGCGCATTGGATTATGTTAGGGGCTTCGTATCCCACCGAGTTTTGCCTTCTCCTTCCCCTAAGCGTGCACATGTTAGGCAACCAGGGGTCCGAAGAGATAATAGTTGGAATGCGAATGCCACGCCTATACTCTGGACACGCAAACGACAAAGAGCAAGGAAAATAAGTCGCCAAGGCTTTTTAACACAAAAAAGGAAACATGCTGTGAGCGAGAGAAACAAGTTTCGTCATGGTTGTTGCTGTTGTTGTGTACAATCATCATTATGTTCATTTTCGGATACCGAGGTTGCGGGAAAAAAGAAAATGGGGTAGCATCAGATGGGCCGTCCGAAAATAATAATAATAATAATAACAATAATCAAATCAAGTCATTATATTATTGTCATCTTTGAACATTTACTGGGGCTTCTTCGCTCCCGCAGCAGCACCCTGGTACCCGCCAAGATACCGCCGGACATCAGTTATGTCATAGGCCTGTCTGACAAGTCCCTTGAACGCTTCCCAGCCTTGTCTCACCTGCGGCGGGGTGTTCTGGTGCGAGATCGCTGCATCAATACGGGCACTTGCACGGGCCACGGTGCCCTGGACAAAAGAGCTCTGCGCATATCGTGAGCGGAAGAAACAGAAATAGATGACCAGCAGCACCCAGCTGCCACTCGAGAAAGTCAGGGCGGAGCCGATGAGCCGGAACATGAGGCTCATTTCAAAGGCAGCTACGAGGCCCATACTGGTGTCATAGTATCTCTTGACGAAGCGGCCGATGCTCTCAGCGAGTGGCGACTGTTTTGTGACTGGGCGGCCGGACGGGGAGGTTGCTTCGCCTGGCGCGGCCGGTTTGGGGGGCTGGAGGGTTGGGATGAGATATGTGCGAGTGTAAGTTGCTACATGAAAGACGGAGTAAATAGCAAAGGGCAAGAGGGCGATTGGGATCTGGCGGGAGTAGAGCCAAACGAGGGCCATGACTGTTTTTCGGGTTGAATTTTTGTCAGCTGCGAGGTAACTTTCCGACATATGTTCAACATAGGGAAAAACAAACGAGCCCACTGACATAGGTATTGGACATTCTCGTCACCAGCCAATTTCATGGCAGTAGCGGGAATAGATCCTCCGAGACGGCCTCGGGCGATATATGCTTTATAGACGACAATTCCATATGTAGCAGCTGCGGATACGAATGCGAAACGATACGACGCTCTGGCCATGCCGGAATAGTAGTTGAATGTAATGTAGGAGAGAAAGTATCGGAAGACAGAGAGAATCAAAGCCAAATGCCTAGAGCGGTGTGACATATCATGTTAGCAAAAGAAAAGCCATTTGTGCTTCTTTTGCATTGTTGCAAAAGCGACATCACCCAATATCGAAGATAAAATCATTCCCGAATCTCCATCTTCACTTCTCCACAATGGTATATATATATATATATATTTCTTCATTTTTCCTCGTACACCGCTTCAAAAGGTAGCTGGAGAGGGATGAAATCGCCAGCAATTGTGCAAGTCAATTTTGGACATACCCAAGAAACCAACCGAACCTGAGAATACATTAGCAAATGACATTCTCTTTTGGGATCATTCATAACGGGGTGACTTACTGTAGGGTTTGGGCGAGCATCTTCAAACGCTCGCCCAAGGGCAGGGTGGAAGGGGGTGGAGGAGCCATCTGCAGCAAGGCACAGTTAAATGTCGAAGCTCAAGGCTAGGTGGTTGGCGCGAGAGGGCAGAAGTTTGTTGAGAGGAGAGATGAAGCAGGAACAGCTGGATGGAGCAGCTGTTGTTGTGTAGTTATCTGCCCTTGAGCCAGGCTGCAGAATATCAAAAGGTCACGGTGGACTCAGGCCAGAAGTCAGGTGTGGAGGATTTGTGCCTTGGAAGGCCGATGTTTGCGTGGTGTGTAACGAACAGCGTCAGAGGGCGTATTGGCGCCCTTCCCGGCATCATATTTGGCGGGCCTGGCGGGCGAGTCCAGTCGCACCAACTGTAATCTGTATTTAATACGACAATACCTGGCACCAAGATATCATGTGACGAATCCAATAATTCTTCACAATTTCTCAAAACACCAAGCAGCAAACATCAGAAATCGCTCTGTTCACCCGGTGGAAATCTCGATCCAAAAGAAGTAGCCGACATAGAAGCAGCCCAATTATGCCACTCTGCTCTGTGTGTACATCACAGTGTCGTGTGGACTGTACCAGTGGCAGTCCACTTCTCCCGTGTTGTGGCAACACCAGCCTCGACGTCATCCCGCTGTCTCCAAGCTTCGTTCGATCCTAGACGTCAGTCTATGTCTCCTGCATTGAAGGCATTTTATTATATTATTCATCATTTAACATATTAACCACAGTCTTCCATTTAGTTCTCCATTAGTGTGTCATTGGCCATTGGTCATTACCCCAAACATGTTGAAAGCTGTCTATGACAGCCTCCTGGAGCTTCCTGGATTTCCAATACTTCAAACAGATGAATTGGCTTCGTTTTCTTTATCAAACACTTTCAATATTCATTGTGCTCATATGAATATTGCATTTTCATTTGCTGCAACAATGTGAGATGTGTGTTAATCAAAAGCACATTCACACTGTTTCCAACTGTATCATCTCTTCCCCAGAATCCATTATAAAGAACAAAAAACTACTCAATTATGCA